GAGGATTCTCATTGCTGCCTCACGTGATGGAAGTCCAGTGATGCAGCACAGGACCCACTCCTTCTGCCATTCAAACAGCTTGGTGATGTACTGCTGGAATCTGGTGTGCTCCACCACTAGTGGGTACTGCAGAGCTAGCTGCAGCTGCTCCGTCAAGTCACTGATCGTCTCGGCGTGGATCAGACGCTTCACCCAGAAGAAGAGCTGAGAGCGATGCCCCATCGGGACCTCACCCATGCGGTTCCAAAGCCAGCGCCAAGCCGCCTGCAGCACATGGAAGATGTTGAGCAGCAGCGGCACGCCGGGGAAGGCGCCTCGAATCGCATTCATCTCCGCCTTGGTGTCGTCGGCGATGAAAATCTGCGGCCCAACAAACGGGCCCCTCCCACAGAATGCGTTGGGTGGCCAGAGGCACTGCAGCAGCTTGAGGCCCGTGAGGATGACCTCCTCTGCCTCAGAGTTGTAATGAGGCAGCCCAAGGGCAATCCACCAACGGGCGAGTGCGCCAGGAAGATGAAGATCTTGCAGTGCCGACGATCCATTCCACCCGGGGAGTCAACGAATGCCACGTCTGCCGCCTGTGCCAACGTGTGGACGCGTGCCATGAAGGGAGTGCAGACGGCGATGACACAGTTCTGCTCGCCGATCATCTGCATCCTGACGCACTCCTTGCCCAGCTCCTGGTTGTACTCGTCAGCACGCCTCAACACATCCTGCAGCATTTCATTGCCGGTGCTCATTCGGCGAACCTTCTGGAATGATTGGTAATACAAACTGTGGAAAGACATGGCATGTTTTTGAGCATGGATAAAGCAACTGATAGCTAATAAAATGTAGTAATATGACAAAGGTCTCAATATAAAAAAGTAAATTTTCCCAAAGATTCTAAAACAATCTTAACATTGATCTGTTTATGAATTGCTTTCTCAAAATCATCACCTATTAATAAAGCAATTAAATAAAGTCAGAGAGGGGAAACTGGACAACAAATATCTAGAAGATACTGAAAGCGGAACAATGAAATAAGGAGCCTCACGAAAGCACATCTGGAGGGTGTTTAGAAAACTGCATTTGATAATGAACTGGAACAAATCAATGTGCCTAAACAAGAAAGTATTTAATCAGTACATATATACTAAAAGATAACAGACCGAATAAGATTTTCTACATTACCAAAATAATGAGCATTACCCTTTTGGTTAACAAAATAAATACTACTTTGTACGAAGTCACGCTGCAAACAGAATCACAGCCTTACACTCAAATGAGACACATACGTAACCATCCTCCCCTAACAAGCATCGTGGTCAGACACCTGAAGCAGAAGCTGATGTCCGGGCAGACCGAGCGGTCAGATGCCTTGAGGCTGTATTCATCGGCAGCCTCCAACTGTAGGTCATCCTGCATCATGTCGCGTGCCACCGAGGGTGTGTAGCCCGACTTGAAGAGCCTCAGCAACTTCTCTCGAGTTTCTTTTGCCACGTCCCGGTATTTCAGGGTGTCTGCTGCCTTGATTGGGTGATTGTGTTTGAAGGTAAGTTTCACCACCAGCGGAAAGTCTGGCAACAGCTTGTCCTTGGACCTTTAATGCAGAATTAGGCAATTAGAGACAACGCTTTGTCCAATTTTCCCAGTACTACACATCCACATTAAACTATTAACCACTATTATACATGTTGACCTTTATTCGTAGATATTGATTGAAAATAAATAAAACTGGCAAGGTGGCACTCGGTTGGAGTACTTAATTGAATGGTTAATATATTTCTTAAAAAATAGCAAATAAAAGCCTCAAAACACTTCACCTGCTTTTTCCCACCACCATTAAGCGCTTCAGAATGACGGTCATCACAGCAGGGCAGTTGGTGTTTTTGGTCCTGTAAGTCCTCTTGGCATCCAAGCTTCGCCTTACATTAGTCTTGTGCTGGCAACGATAACTGTTCTGAAATATAATTGTAAGTGTTAGCCGCTTCAAAGTGGCAAAAAACAATTGCATATTTAAAAATGCAAACTATTGTATGGGCAATAATAAACAGCACTATATATTTATGTGATGAAGCTTTAAATGGGCATTTTTAATTGACCATAAAGCACATTTTGCATACATTAACAATCACCACTATGCAAATATGGCCATAAGTTCTACTATATTCAGTATTTTAATATTGGTCCAATTCTGTAATTGTTCCTAAAAAAGTTGTTTTACATTTTTGAGTGCAAGACTGGTGTAAACACATGTGCATTAAACACTGGACATATCCAAGTGCACCGATTGGTGAGATGTGCTTGTCATGCCATAGAATTGGTATACTATTTTAAAGGACTATGTTTTGATGTACATGTTGCAAAACAAAGATTGCAACACCAGACATGGAGACACAAGCATGTAATTCAGATATAAACAGAGTCGGTGGATCATACCAAATTCATAAGACTTTGAGATGGCAGACAAGAAAATTTAATTCTGACGAGTCGGTTTGGACTTTGAGTTATCTCCTCATATGCACAGGCATTCTCTGGTTTCATAGGAAATGTAAATTCCTCGTTAAAATATTGTTACTTTTATAGTTTAACTTATTCAACTTAGTGGAGATGAACAATGCGTACCTTAAAGATATTCTTACGGCCACTTTCAGGAAATGTGTGGCGAATCCTCCATGTCACCATAGATGTGGCTTCAAACTTTCGTATCCAATCCAAGGTGGCGTCTTTGTTGTCAATTGACACCCTCAACTCTGAGCAAAATTGCTCAGCAGGACCATCTTCATAACTGACCACCTTGTACTTGAAGCCATCAGGAAGCATAGGCTTCAAATCAACAGAAACACATGCAATGTATTAGATAACGAAACTGACATAAAATAGTTATGGGAAGGCAAGGCAAGTGAGAGGGGATTGAAGACTTTTGCTATTTTAAATGCAGTTGCCAAGCAGAGGCCAAAAAGTAAAGCTATCAGCAAAACTCTGAAAGTTTGTGATAAGGTCATACTTTAAAGAAGGCTTCTGCACGAAAAAGAAAGGCTTCTTGATGCTTCCTTAGCCAGATTAGTAATACTGTACACTCATTCCAATACAGTTTTGATAGCAGACTAGTCTATGGATAAAACTATAATTTATTAAATAGGATGGGAATACATACTCTTTGGTTTCTTCGGTAAAGTCATGTAGGTAGAAAAAAAATATTATTTTTCGGTAAAGTCACGTAGATAGAAAAAACAGAATTTTTTTCTACCTACGTGACTTTACCGAAAGAACCAGAGTATGGATTCCTGCAGTCACGAAAGCTTCAAATTAAGGATGGGAATATAACTTGGAATGTCAGTTTAATACGATATTAATCATCGACCAGGTTTTCTTACCCAGTCAGGTGACTGATAGCAGAGTAGAGGTTTCCCTCGCTGTATGCGTTCTAAAACATGGGCGCACAAAGCGAAACCGCAAGATGCAATGCATACAGTACACAATGTTGTCCACGTCCGAAAGCATGCGCATATAGCAATTTTTGGGAGGAGAAATAGAATGACACGGTAAATTAAAATTTACGTGTGGATATATGGAGATCACAAAGAAGGAAAAGTGATGGGGATGAGATTGGGAGAGAAGGAAAATGCGAGCTTTGAGAGCGACACGGGGTGGGTGAGGTAAAGCGACAGTGAAGGCCTCATTACTGTCCCTGTGGTATCCAAGTTGGCGTATGGCACCAACCAACCCGCCAAACGATTCAACCAAAAACACTTGAGCGCGCAACGTTCGCCCACCACGAAACGCATCGTGCATCGCGAACGAGTTTATAAAGGCGCGCCCCGCTATGATCGTCAACCAAGATAACATCAAAAAAACAATAACAGCGGCAAAGACCACGAGGGCCCACATCCACATCGAGGCGCTCGCTCGCCTGAGTGTGGAATGGGCCCGACCCAGCGAGGCGCCCGCAGGGAGCACAGGGCTCGCCCGCGTTTTCCCCCGCGGACCCGGCGTCTCCCCGCTAGCGAGGAAACCCGCGCCTCGTCTCGCCCCGAGGCCGTCGACATGAAACGCGCGGGCGTCGCGGAGTCTTACACGGAGCTTGGGGAACAGCTCAGCCATATTGACCGCTTGCGAGCAGGACCGGAAACAGTTGCGGGGATAGGGGGTGGGGGCCTGGAGAGAGGGGGTGGGGGGGCGGGGCGAAGGGGGGTGGGGGCGTGGTAGAGAGGGGGCGGGGCGAAGGGGGGTGGGGCGTGGGGGGCGTGGTAGAGAAGGGGGTGGGGCGTGGGGGGGAGGGGCGTGGCCCTGAGGGAGGGGGCGTGGGGAAAAGGGGGTGGGGGGGTGTGAGATCGTGGGGGAGGGGACGTGGGGAGGGGCGTGAGGGAGAGGGGGTTGGGGCGTGGGGGAGGGGTTATGGGAGAGAGGGGGTAGAAGAGAGGGGGTGAGGGGGTGGGGGCCTGGGGGAAATGAGGTGGGGGCATGGGGGAGAGGGGGTAAGGGAGAGAGGGGGTGGGGCGTGACGAAGGGTCGTGGGGGAGAGGGGGTAGGAGAGAGGGGGTGGGGGCCTGGGGGAGAGGAGGTGGGGGCATGGGGGTGGGGGCTTGGGGGAGAGGGGGTAGGCGTTTCCCATAGCAACCGGCGGGGGGATCCGGGTCCCGAATCAGAGATCCGGTTTCCATGGCAACCAACCCCGAGGATCGGGACTCCATGACAAGAGGAATCTCTAAGAGGCGTAAATATAAATGTTGTGTCGTTAAACCCTCCACCACCCGACATAGCCAATTATTAAAGTTTGTAACGTAAACAGAACATGCCAATTCGTTACTAGCACAGCAACCAGCCGGTTGTGTATTGGAGAGTAAACCCACTGCAACATTTACAATCCGAGTACGACGTTTCGGCAGTAATTACAACCGGCATCATCAGGCGGCAGCCAGATTTGTGGGGAAATCTTCCTGTTTCGTTCCTTAAATAGAGGCATAGATGTGATGGCGTTACTCGTGAGCCCTTCACGTGAATACATATAAATTACAATGGATATCCGTTACCGGTTGAGATGTTTAAACGAATCATCTGGTGATGCTGCTGCTGTTGATGCGTTGGCAGTGGTGCGTAAGCAAGAAAAAACAAAAACAACCATGTTCGTCACTGACAGTGGCCTTAAAATAAAAACAAAATACAAAAGATGCGACGTTTCGGGTAAATTGGCCTTGTTATGATTGTGTTTTTGCTTTGTTTGCTGTTGTAACGTCTGCCCCCCCTACTGGACAAAAATAGCTTTTCGGCTTATCGGATTCCTCCACTTTAACACACGTTGGCTTTCACGAACGTGTCGCGTTCTAAACGCAATATAACAAACAAAAAAACATGTATTTACGGATTCCTCCAGTTTGAATAAACATTCCGGATGATCATATTCTTGGTTCTTTCGGTAAAGTCACGTAGAAGGGAAATACTAAAGTAATACAAGTTATTGTTTTATTTGTATTATTTTATTGTTGCCCTTCTACCGAAAGAACCAAGAAAATAAATCCCTGCAATCACGAAACCTTTAAATCGATAATCGTCGGGTCCAACCAGGTCCAGTCACGTGGCCACGCTTTGCGCTCCCATTGGTCCAGCAGCGAGCGGCGCCTCGCGCTTGGTGACGTCGCTACCCGGAAGTGTAAAAAGCGCGGGAAACTGACACGCGACTTTGGCGGTGAATTGCGGACAGCGGTGGTCGCGACGGTGGTAGTGGCGGTGCTGTCACGCTGACGCTACCGGGGGTATTCTCGCCACAAGCCGGCTTCTCTAGGTCGCGCCAGTAGCTCCCAGGTGGGAATTCGGCTCCGGCGAGCACACCGCCATCCTCACGGTACACTTAGTCACATATTCACTTTAAGATGTTTCTTGTTCATGTTTTTGTTTGTTGCGGTTGCACCCGATTCAAGAGCCGAATGGCTCACAGGGCTATACCTAATAAATGAACTTGAACATGCGCCGCTCTTTGCTCGGCTGTTTAACCCCCGTCACTCGCGAGCAGAATTCGAAGCCGTCCAGCGCCTTTTGTGCATGCGTTGTGATCTTGCGCGGTACCCGCTCGTTGACTTGAGACGTGAACGGATTGCATCGCTGCATTCACAAAGCGCGCTCGCCTCTTCGTATGCAAAGAGTTTGTGCTTATCTTTTGCTCCCGTGCTTCGGGAATCTGAAGGGCATCGCTTAGTTTTTGGTAATTGCGGCCACTGCTGGTACCGCTACTTCCACCGTGGCCTCTGGGAGTCTATCTGGCTCTGCTTCATGTGTACATAAGCGCCGTGGTGGGGAGATGTTAGCTCCTCGCCTGGTGTACAAGGAGGTCGATCCCGACCCTGACGCCTGCTGTATATTTGGAGTTGCATGTCTCTCTCCCCGTGGGCGCGTGGGTTTCTTCTCCTTGTCCTCCGGGTTTCCGTGTAGAGTATTTAGCTGGTGTATATAGATGCTTAAATAACAGCATTGTCAAGACTGCCAACAGCGTAACAAGCGGAGCAGATTTTGTTTCTGGTTATCAATGATCCCCATGCAAAGACGTGATAAGGCCCAAAGGATGATGCCAATTTGGGCTCAGGACGGCTATTACAGGAAAATCGGTCGGATTGATTTTTGAACGCTGAACTTAATCATGAAAAAGCAGCATTACCAATGTGCCTCAAAAGAATAACGTTTTTTTTAGCATACATTACATGCTAAAACATACTAAGTCGAAACGGACGTGAACGAATAACGTGATGATATTGAGACACGAGGTAAGAACAGTACAGTGCGTGAGTGGAACAGTTATTGCTCATGCATCTCTAACCCAATGGGTGTTGCGACCGCAAGACAATGCTTGATTATGACAGTCATCCCAGTGTCAGTACGCTCAAAAACGTGCACACACATTGAGTGATTACTTCACCACAGCACACTTGTCACATTTGGCTTGATTGATTTCATTGCAGGTGATAATTACTGGGAACGTTATTTATCACATCTTTTTCCATATTCAATAAAACACCATTGTGGCAACAGCGGTGATAGTAGCAAATATAATGTGGAATTGACTGGTTTAGAAGGACTGGGGTTACCTATGTTTCTGGATTATACGATGAATCACTGACACTAATTCTGCGACTTTCAGGGTGAACGCCCGACGAGCTGCCATGAGCAAGAAAAAGAATAAAAATGCTGAGTTACCACTGGATCAATGCGTGTCGGAGGTCAGCACTACCACAATGTTTATTCTGGCATTGTATCATAACCACATGCTTGCTGTCTCTATCCAGCCAGATGGCACTGATGGCTAGTTGTGCTTGACTCATGGTTGGAAAGTTGTGCCAAAATATCGGTTTAACTGTAAAGCGAAGAAATCATAACAGATGGTAAAGGGATACCCATATGATCTGTAAACCAAAGGTCCACTTTAAGGGCTGTCAGGAGTAGCTCTGTGATGTCCACTTCGGTGGGACATTTTTTAACATGAAAGGTTGCACCGCTCTAGGAAATATCTACCCAAGTCCTTCCTCGTAACGTTCACCAGTTATGTCAACTTTTACTTCCCTCCTGTAGTTTTCAGAATACGTTCACTCGTGTAAAGCAAATCGCCTCTGTCGTCGTTTTTATTATGCCCTGTCAACATGTGTAACTGCGCAGATTGTGACTGCGGTGGTTGTTACTTGCCACCGCTCCGCAGGTGCACAAGTGTCTGCGAGAAAGACTGTGCCATGGGGCGCTCACCGGCATCCCGTTGTACATGGAGCCCCAACGCAAGTAGGCACTGCGCATGCATCATCTTGCCGTTTATTCGTGCTCTATTCTTTTCAGCTGGATGGCGCTGGGTGCCATCTCACGATGCGGAGCTCGATTACATTTTTTTTTATCCTGAAATGTACATCGAGCTCAATTTAATGTAAAACAACTACTCTGATAGAATTTCATCACGAAATTTGACAGCCCAACCAGATTTCCACTCACCTAATCAAAGCGGCATAATTTCCCTGGTGTACAAGACCACTGCGTTTGTGGAGTCGCCTCCGACTGCAAGGCTACCTCATTACAAGTGACACGTTCACAGCCTCATGACAGGCATTCGTTCGTCTTCTGTATTTAGCAGCAATGCTTGAGAAAGATGCTGTGTAATCCATTTTCAGAGCGATTAGCGATCGAGGTTTGCACATCTAAGTGCAAATTGAGTCTTCATTTAAGCAGTGCTTAGGAATATTCCTGACGTTAATGGCTGGAGCCATTTCAGTCGTAAAATGTAATATAGTGACTGAGTAGTAATTAGCTGTCACAGGCAGATGAGTATAATCCTTTTCATGCTGGGCTGCATCTGTGTGTAAATAGATGATAGACAACTAGAGAGAGTTGTATTTATTTTTGTGAAACTCAGGCTCCTTCAGCACAGATTGACACCATTTCTCTTACCAGGCAACGTATGGGCCCTCGCTGTCAATTGACGGGGTTTAAACAAGGCCACCCAAATGCGGGAAGCCCTCCACCTCTCACAAGGAGTTGTTGTGACGTTATGGATCTGGCTGAAAGGTGCAGTGCTCCGGGTTCGAGTTCAAATCTTTCTCGGAGGGTTTTCTGCAGGATTAATAAAATGATTAACTACTACGAGAAATCAACATTGGTTGCCCTATTATACAATGACTGGCACCTGCCTTGGGCACGTGGAATTTCCACCAATTGTTTCCATCGGAGATGAGATCCGCCACAATGGTCATTTGAGCAGGGAATCACGTTTGTCTTTGACTTGTATTGAGTTTTGGCCCAATATTGAGCAGCAATGGCACTCGTTGCCCATGTCCCTGTGTGCATGTTGGCAGGCACTTGCTGGAGATGCTCAAACGAACGGCCACACAGGGGGAAGGCAATTCCGTGCTGGTGGTCGGCTCCCGTGGCTCGGGAAAATCCATGGTGAGGGCCCTTGTGATTATTGAAATAAAGTTGTTCGCGTGAGGATTGGGGCCCAGTATATGCAGTTGCGTGGTGTCGTGTTGGCAAACATCACGCAGTCAGGAGGCGTTGCGAGTTCAATTCCCAGTTGAGGGGCAACCTGGTTCACCTTTGACAACTGGGTTTGTCCTTTGATAGGCTGGCCCTTGCCATGAAAATGTTGAATTTGCCTTTAATGGACGATGTCAATAGGTACATGGTAACTGTTCCAGGCTATGTGGACATTGCAAAGAGGTTAGAAGGACATATCCAGGGGAAAACATGTTGGTTCATTCACCGTTTCTCACTGGTGTTTAGCGGCTGGTCCTTGGTGCTAATTTGTTTGGTTTTGCCGCTGCAGCTTCTGAAAGGCGTGCTGAAGGAGCTGCTGGAAAACAACTCCATCCGAGAGAACCTCATGCAGGTTCATCTGAACGGTGGGTGGTACTCATCTACATGTGTCGCTGAATTGGGTTCATGCACATCGTCATGGGTTTCTCTGGGCAATCTTCTTTTCTCTTACATACGGTAGGAATTGTCCAATATCAGCAAAATATCACAATGGAAAAATTAGAATGTCCTGCATTGGAGGACCACCTACATGATTATAGTGCCTCCCCCATCAGATTAGTATAAGAATAATAAACTCCAATTTAAAGCTTTCGTGACTGCAGGGATTTATATCTTGGTTCTTTTGGTAAAGTCACGTAGAAGGGAAATAATAAAGTAACATTAAATTTGTATTTTATTATGTTGTATTTTTATTCCTTTATTATTTCCCTTCTACGTGACTACCGAAAGAACCAAGAATATAATAATAAATTCCTTAAAAAAAGTTTTTTTAAAAACGGTTTTATTCACGGTCAAGAAGTATGTCAATGATGCGGCGCCTGCTCCCACATCAGCGCTTACTTGAATTCATTGATTACTTCCGTAACTCGTTGACACTGGAGCAGGTGCGCCTGAGACACGTGGCGCCTGCTTCTTGGGCGAGGCGATTCCAGAGTTTAGGGACCGCGGCGTTTTTGACCGCCACAAATGTATAAAATTAATAAGTCGTCCATACAAAATGTTAATTGCTTTAAAGGAGGCAATTAATTGATTAATTGATGCCGATTTGATACAGGCATGCATTGTCACCGGATCTGAGTACGTGTGCAACATTGGGATTGATTGAACAGTGGGAAGTGGACGAAATGTAGATTGCAAGATTTGACGACGATTTGACCACGACACAGGAATCAAGTTAAGTAAAACCGTTGAAAAAAGTCAGCCTTGCTTGGTTGCCGTGAGTCGGTCGTGCAAAGTCCGCATTTCTGTAAATGGGCACCCTTCTATACTGAGGATGAAAAACTGTTTACTGCTCATACAGTGGTTGTAACTTTAATGACTGTGGAGGAAGCTGCTGGACCTAATGGAGTTAAAATCTTGACTTAAAGCTGTCGTGACTGTAGGAATTAATATTCTTTGGGTCTTTCGGTAAAGCCACGTAGATAGAACAACTAATAAAAAAATATTTGTTCTATCTACGTGGCTTTACCAAAAGACCCAAAGCATACTAATGGAGTTTGCCCATTGGTCCATGGATTAAAAGTTACATTACTTTGGTGATTAAACAATCCACCAAACCTGTTTACTTCATATTGTCACAAAGTGTGCGTGTGTGTGTGTTGAGCTGTACTGCAATGGTTTAGCCACTTTGTCGCTGCTGAAAAATAAGTTCATACCTCAGTGGGCTTTGCCTGCTAGAAATGGGATGGTTTATTTTATTTGTATGTTGTGGGTGATTTGTTTACCTTTATTGTACTTGGCACTACTGTAATGTTTTTGTATTGTTTGTTGTTGTAACGTACCTACTGGCCCCAACTGGACATTTGTGAAAATGAGCTCTATAGCTTATCAGATTCCTCCAGTATGAATAAATATTCTGATTCTGCTTCGAGCACGCTGCGCTACAACCCAGCGACCCGAGTTCTATTCCCGCTCACGGCCAACACCAGTGACGATGATCTGAATCGGTCCTGGCCTCCCCTAGGTCAACTCGGTCTCAAATGAGTACCCGGTGAGATGTGTAAACATCGCCACTGGAGAGGCAAAGTTGGCCGGGGGCATGGTGCTGGCCAGCCACTCCCTCATGGGCCTTGCCAGCCTTCATAGGTGCTCGCTAACAGCGCTTGCCCCAACATTCTGTTAAAGGCGATATGGGGGATCATTGCCTTGGCAATTACAAATGCAGTGTGCAGCTTGTGAATGTGGCAGTGGTGCTTTCACCGCACTGTGTGTGCATGCGCGTGTAGCCGCAGGCGAGTAATAATGCCACGAGGTGTGCCTCTACTCACGCGCGTGCTGTGCGCTCGGCTGTCGTCCAGGCCTCCTGCAGAAGGACGACCGCATTTCACTCGAGGAAATCACGCGGCAGCTTCAGCTGGAGAACACAGTCGGGGACAAAGTGTTTGTGAGCTTTACACCCACGTCCTTCTCATTGTACGAGCAATGCCGCGTGCCGGGCCAGTGTTGAAATGCCCGCGGTCGCTGCTCCACTGTGTGATTCGTCAAATAGCCGTTAAGTAATTGAGTCGGAGTGCGTTTTGCACAATTTGAGCTTTATTAGTGTTCGGCTCTATCGTACCGTAAGTGCAAATGTATTTTAACTGCTAAAGCTCTCCCTGACCAGGCTGGCTGGTGGGGGGACTGGGGAATTGGAAGTTGCCAAGGTGTGGAACAGTGTCTTACCGAGGTTGTACACCAATTGTCTTCCAGGGGAGTTTTGCGGAGAATCTCACCTTTTTGCTGACAGCATTAAAAAGCGGTAAGCGTGAACTATTGTCTCGGGTCCCTCTTGATAAATGAAAGCTTGATGTATTTAAATAGTGGCACACTCGTAGTAAAAAAAAATGACCAGCTTTAATATGACAAAGGAGTGAATTATACTGCCCAGAAGGTGTTAAAATTCTCGTTGGGTTTGATTCGCTCGTTTATTCCTCTACAGTTGGCAAGCCATCATCCTATTAGATTGAAATGCAGCCCTGAAGTTAAATTGGGATTAGGCAGCACCCATTGTGTGAGGTGGTGTGGAGCAGTAGTGCGTTGCTTTGCAGACTGCTACGAATCGGGTGACATGGGTCTGATTCCCGGCCATGGATAGCTTTACCGGACCACCCCATGCACCAACCCACGCTGACCAGCGTGATGAAGTATAGTCAAACAACACTCATGACTGACAACTGGTTATGGGGCGATCTTCATTCTGCATCGGACGCATTAATTGTGTTCTTTACATATTTTTTTTGGGGGGGGGGGGGGGGGGTGGCACTTTGGCTGATAAGACATCAGTGTGAGGTCTGCCACACATTTGAAACCATTGGGTTTGACAGCATGATGGGGGTATTTTTACATTTGAGTATTGTCAGGGCCGCACTAAAGGCCACCAAGGCCCGTAAGTGGCCCGCGGGCCTTGCAATGAAGAACACTGATTTAGATTGTTGCCATCGTGTGGGTATGGCAACTGGAAACCGGGAGCTGGGTTTGTATGCTATGTATGTATGTTGATCTTCTCTCGCACCGTACGTTGCCAATAAACTGTGTCGTGTGCAGGCGAGCGGAGCAGTACTCGCCCCGTACTGTTTGTGCTGGAGGAGTTCGATCTGTTCGTCCAGCACAAGAACCAGGCACTCCTCTACAACCTGTTCGACGTGGCAAAGTCTGCCCAGACGCCCATTGCTGTAGTGGGACTCACATGCCGCTTGGTAAGTCCTGTTGTGAACGCATTACAAATGTTTACGTGTGTTTTATGCTTTTTTTTATTTCACCATGTAAGGCCCACTGAACTATATATAGCTTTTTCAGAAGCGAACCACTCACAAATGATAGCTCGAAGAAATGACTTGTCACGTGGAAATGTTTAGCAATCAAATACTCTAAACGCATATCGATTCTAAATGTGGGAGGGAAAATCCGGAGGACCCGAAGAAAAATTCACACGACCACAGGAAGAACGTGCACATTCCAAATATGCAAGCGTGAGGGTCGGGATCGAGCCACGACCTCCTGTACACCAGGTGAGATAATTAACATCTCAACATTGTGGCGCCCGACCTTTGTCCTCCAAGCTGTATGAATGGGTTCACTGCAGTCGTGTTGATGAGTCTATGTGGACACCATGGGTGTGTATATATATACACGTGTGCAGCATCTCCTTTTGTCAATCCATTGCTAGATGAAGGCTTCCCTACTCCGTGGGGTTATTTGACCACACTTTACCATCCTGGGCAGTCGGTGAAGATAGGCAGTGTATAGACTTACAAGGCAGCAGTTTGTGTTGCACTGCCCTCTGCTGCCCACCCTGTAGACACACCCTATAACAACAACGCCCCGTGCATAGTAGTTGCCCATCCGAGTGCTGTCCAAGCTCGGCCTTCGTGCCCGCAGACATTGACAAGATCGCTGAAGAGAATAGGGCACATTGAAGAGAATGGGGTGGTGCCACGGTGGAGAGCCTTTGGAAAACAGAAATTGATAAAAAAAAGAATAAGTTTCATTTTACATAGCGTCATGCATGCAATTGCATCCCACAATGCTGCAAATCAATTAGCCAGTCCCTTAAACAGATAATAAAAAAAAAACAATACTTATCAAATAAAACAAATAAAAGATTAATATTAATACGTAAATAACGATTTTAAAAATGGCCATAAGAAACAATCATCATTTATGCGCCCCATAATGAACACAACGTAGCAATATGCCTAAATAGGACTCAAATATGTCCATGTTACCCACATGCCACGTTTATAAGTCGAACGGTTCTTAAAATCGGAATGCAATAATGCACTGTGTTTAAATGCCCAAACGGTCAGTGTTATGAAATGTGTTACAGTTCAACAAAAAATGGAAGCATTGTTAAACTTATAATTAAGAATAAATATTGTACATTTGCTGAACCAAATAGTTATGCGGTTCGGTTCACAAGTGCGAGCTCACATTTGCAAGTTGGACGGTTAAAAATGTACAAGTTATGGAAGCTCGTTCGTGTGTTTCATGCTTCGTAAGTCTGGTGTTTGTAAGTCGGGGACTGGCTGCGAATGGTTAACTTTCATGAGCCCTAAAGCCTTCCGGTAATTGAATCCTTATGCAATATAATTTCACAACTTATGCAGCTCATTGCTGAACATTTTTATTATCTTAAGTAACTGGGCATTTGACTAGATGCACTCGATATTGTAAGTGCTGGGTGATTGCTGCAGGAATCGTATTTGAATTCCACGATTCCACCGTAGGCAATGCCTGCAGGATATCGTGTTAAAAAAAATTCCATTTACTTTCAGGGGATTCTCACAGGCTTAGCATGCCCTCTAGTGGACACCCTTGGACCACTTTGAATCTTGTTTTATTGGAAATGCAGGAACCTATTGAATTTAATTAAAATCACCAAACTTTTAAATGTGTTTGGCTTGATAGCAAGCGTGCTAATGATGAGGAAACCCGCATGGCAATTTGCTTAACGGTCTCTTAAAATTAACCAACCGCTGTTGCAGGCTCGATCAGATGAGGAAGTTTGTGGGTGAAAGGTTTTTATTCACAGATATCCGACGGTTGCTGGAGCACCGTTGGCTATAGTGGGAAGTGGGCCCTCTCAGCTGGTCTGGCTGTGTGTGTGTGTGTGCGCGCCTTGGGCTCAGTTACGTACTGATTAATCAACCGCCTTGGCCCACTGCTGAGCGTCACGTATCCCGACTTCTGGTTAATCACTCGCTCGCAGGCTTCATGAAGCTCGATAACAGTGTTTAGCATTAGTTTTCCCATAGAGAGACTGGCCCCTGCAAGATAAATGTGTGATTTCCACTGCTGACTCATGGCTGTGAATTTGAGATGAGCACTGCCCTCGTTCCTGTTTGAGCAGGGAGACACTTTGACTGAAATGTATTTAATCAGAACAACTCGAATGCCTCTGCTGACTTGAGGGTTAGTTGTCGGGCGAGTTACTAAAGTCAAGTAGAATTGTATTCCCACACAGGTGGGTGCTGGCCAATGCTCGTCTCATTTAGCGGTGTTGTGCCAGCAGTCGAAATTCCACATCCCTAGGGTGGGGGGTCAAAATGTACGTTGCATAAAAAGGTTTAAAAGAGGATTGCGGTCGAGTTGAATACAAGGGACCATGGGAACGTCCACAGCTGTGCATAGGTGTGGTAAAACAAAGAGTGGATTTTCAGTTCAAAGGAAGCATTATCAAATTTTTACAGCAGGATTATTTGATTAAGTTTTTTTCCGTTTACAGTACAATAAAAGATGGAGACTTCTTAAGTCAACAGCAGCCATAAATATCTTTAAAACATAACGTGACCCATACTGGCAAGGAAAAGCAACAGGAAAATGTGTTCAATCATAGTCCATGGTAATAAAATAAAATTACGTGCACAAAGGATACATGTGGAATGAGGCCTTGGAAATGTGTGAAGTTCACGATCCCACCGGGGACGCGACCACCTTCCACCCCGTCCGGCCCCGGTTGCCGTGGGCGCGTCGCGTGGCTAACGCCGAGTTCCCTGCGGCCTCCGCCCACAGGATGTGCTGGAGCTGCTGGAGAAGCGTGTGAAGTCGCGCTTCTCCCATCGGCAGATCCACGTCTTCCCCTGCCCCAAGTTTGACGACTACGTCGCCGCGTTCTGCCAGACGCTTACGCTGCCGCAGGCCTTTCCGGACGTCGCTTTCGCCAAAAGTTGGAACGACAGCGTCCAGGTGAGGCTTGCGGAGCCCGACCACCCGAGGGTGACGCACGGTGGCGAGATGTTTAACTCCCTTGTCCGGTATGCAGGAGGTAGTAGCTTCGATCCCGACCTTGAACTCCTGCTATATATTTGGAGTTTGTACGTCTCTCTCTCCGTGCTTGGTTTGTCCCTCCGCATTTAAAATAAACACGTGTTTTAGAGGATTTGGCTGTTATAAATTTCCACGTGATAAGCCACTTTGTTTAGCTATCATTCGTGATAGCCAGGTCGCTTCTAAAAAGAGCTATACAGCTCGGTGGGCCTTATCTGGTAAAAAAAATTAAATAGATTCGTTTTAGCGTGTGGCACATGTCAAGTGCACCGGGATGTGGCCCAGTGGCCTTTGTGCGACTTTCCAAGAGCGCATTTTTCTCATCCCCCTCAGTGCTGGCATCCATTAGGTAGCATGAATGCACTGCATTGCTTATAAAAAAAATCTTGTGTTGAATTGAGTGAACTGATGGTTGAAGTGGCCGGAATCCTTGAGGTCACGTTACCCACCTACATAAGCATTCGGTGCGCGTTAACACTGGGCATGCGGTGTAGTTCCGACTGAAATAACACAAAAGATCGGTGTAAACATCGTAAAATTGCAGTTATGGTTATAACACAATTTGTACCGGGGTCTGTAATCGAGAAAATAATCAGCACGAATCATAAACCCTAAAAAAAACATGCAGAGCGTTATCGTTGTCGACAGGTCATCATGCCCCATGGCACCGATGCCTCCATATACCGCCGTCACTTCTGCCTAATCCCACATTGACCGTGTTGCACAGACAGCACCCAACATCCCCGGTGCACTCTTACAATACAATCTCTAGGTCCCCACTCAACGACCGTCTCTGGACTCTGCACTCTTGTCCTGCAACGTAACCCCATACTGTCAGTCTACGAATTCGTGAACTCGGTACGTATATTTATTACTCGCTTTCTATGAACTCACTGTCTGTTGTTGTTGTCGTAGTATCCTCAAATCTTGTAACTCAATTTGAACCCACTTCCCAATGTGGTAATGAGGTATCGACTGCAAACTTGGTATACTTATGTCATATTGATGACAATACTTTATTCTATAAAAAAAAAAAAATTACATGATTTTTTATGTTATGTTCGGCTTCGGTCTAATTATCCACGCACAACTGACGTTGGCTGTAAATCACCACTGCCCCTTACGTTATGGCAAGTTTGTGGCCACTTCCTGGAGTCGTGAAGTTTGCCATTACGAGTATGGTACATTTCACTAAAGCGTGTTTAAAAAAAAGTATTTTTAAATATTTATATTATACACGTACATACATATAAATAACCAATTACCATGTTTGGTCTTCCTCAGTGCGCTGCAGTCTTTTAAAGCATTTTAACACTTAGGCTTTCGCGTGATGAAGCTGGTTGTAATAACCAGTGAAACGGCGTACTCATTGTAACTGTTGTGGGTTTACTCTCCACAACACCAGTGCGGTGAGTGAGTAACTAATTGGCACGTTTTTAAAATATTGTTTGGACTCTAAAACACGATGAGTTATCCCTGTCTGCGACTTTATTCATATTCGACTTTGCCTCTCGTCATTGTCCCAGTTTGTAGAGACCCCTCTGCCCAATTGCGTCCGCAATTACATAACCCTTAGCCACCATTAAAACCCTGCCATACGCGTGCAGCACACCTCCGATTAGCACGGCTGGTTACGTACGGTGCGAAAGAAGTTCAACAAACATACAAACCTACGTGTGAAGGCCATAATTTAGTGCAGATTGTGAACAATGAGTTAGAAGGCAATACATTTTAACATGCCATATAATGCAATTTGTAATTAATAAATGCAGCACTGCATTATACACTGCAAGTCTAAGAAATGAAAACAAATCTTGACAGCCATTACATTGAGATGAATATGCAACGTATTGACCCTTTTCGTTTATTTAAAGGGATGTCACACCCTACTGACTATTTAGATTGTGTGGGAGTGTGCGTCCTTATCCCGCCTAATATATTATCCTGACTATATAATTCCAATCTTAGTGGAAGCTCATTTGTGGTACAAATCCAATTAGCCGTGGTTAATTGGTCCCATTGTGTAGCTTTCCAGGCAAACGAGAGGTTGCTGTGAGGTTGCCATGGAGATGACACGTGCAGAGAATGAAGCACATTTTGTGGCCACGGGTTTGGTGGTTCCTATACTGTGCCCACGAGATGGCCGCCCACATTCCACTGCCACTACCGGCAGCGGCTCAACCACCGCTTACAACCCCGTTCCCCACTGTCGCAATCGCCATCAAAACCCCACAGCCGTCACCCGCCGCCTCCACGCGACATCACAACCAACCCACCACTGTCACAGACATTCACCTGCAACACCCCACAACCACCACCCACCTCCATCACCTCCACGCATCACCACAACCAGCCACGACTACGATAGACATTAACCAATATCAGACAATCACATCCACTGAAAAAGTGTCCCGAAACAAAGCCAAAGTGCCTACCATAATAAAATGAGCAATTGGTAGAAATGTCACCTGTACATAGGGCCTTGTCTCTCCAACAGACGGCCAAAATAATAGTGATATAACATTGGAAGGACTTCATGGAATGTGAAAACCTTTATACACACAC